ATGAACAGACGAACGGAAGAAACGACAAATGGACAGAAAGAAGGACAAACGGAATGTCTGGATCGACTCAGCTGTTGCAGGTTGTTAGCACCAAGAAAAGACACTACATAATTGAGGTTGACGACGCTTTCTTCTACATTTCGATACCTACCAAAATATCTCATATACCCCTTGGCAATAGGTTCAGGGTATACAAATTCGATAATTATGAGTCTGGTCTTCCACTGCAACAAAATGTAAACTTGTGCCAAGCTTTTGTTTGTTTTATGCTCCCGGCTACGTGATAAAATGCGAAAATCATCTGCAAGAATTTGAAAGCTAAAAATAGTGTTGAACTATAAAATAAGGAACGAGAAAGAAAAGTCAGTGCTGATTTAAGTACCATAATTACATAACTGCACACACGCACTCGGCCACACACGCACACAATGATAATATTGCGGTTGCCTATAAGTATGCAGCACTTTTTGTTGGTGTAGGGGAAAAGGCAACTGTGCTGGGCTACGGGAAGGGCGCGAAAAGTGGGATTGTGGGAGTCATCCTGTTGCTGTGCTTTTATTGTCCTTATCGCATAAACTTAAATAGTTTTTACCAGCCACTTTGCGGCTTTTAAGTTATTTTGCGTGCAGCACTCTTAAGTCCCTACTCAGGCAACGGGAGGTTCTGCTCTTACGTTTCTCTTTCCTTGTGCCTTCTTCATTGTTTGGTGCCTGTTACCAGGGCAAATTAAAGCTGGCTTTTGTACTCAAAAGTCCCAGGGGTTAAACAGACCAGGTACTTTGGGTTTTACACTGGGCGAAAAGTTCGAATGTTAAGCTAGTTATGTGCCAAATAAATCTGCAAGTTCATATTCACACTGTCTGCCACTTTATATAAAAGTTTTAATTATTCCACGTTAGATGGGGTCAGTTTAAGGTACATCAAGAGCGAGCCTGTCTGTTGCATAATTTGTATGCCAGCCAGCCCGAGTTTATGCTTCCTGTAGCTTTCGCACTTGCTGCTGGGCTCTGTAAAACTTGGGTTAAATGTTTTGCAATTAATTTTCATGCCACTCGGTTATTAACCTGCCATTGCAGTGCAACGTATGCATGGTGTACAAAGCGTGTTGTTGCACTCATTATTTTCTTGGCGATTGGTTCAGCTGTGAGGCGTGCTGGTTGGGCGTGTTTACCGCACTAAATACAGGCTGCAAGCTATTTTTATTCACACGTTCTTACAATTCTCATTGCAAAATTACCACTCCCAAGCGCTGTTTTAGGTTAATAGGTTTGATTTTCCAACGCATAAATCAAAAGTTGTTCAATGCTCTGCAATTTCAATTCAATTTATTCAGGTGGCATATTTTAATTGCAACCTTTTTATATAGGCCACAGAGAAAAGTGCAATAGACTCTCAATGGAAACTGAATGAATTGCGAATCACTTTCGACTCATTTTGAAATGAAATAGTAATGAGAATGTGTTGCATTTTAATACAAAATTTACCTGTCATTGTTAAACACTTTCACAATGAATCTTTTAAAGCGATTATGATGCAGATGGACAGAACTATTTAAATGTGCATTAAACCAAAATTGTTGGTTTATTCAGAATAAATGTACATAAAACAAAATAAACACATTTATTTTGTAATGCATGTAAATTCTGTTTTATTATTACAATAGTGGCAAATAGTTTACGAAACCAATTAAATTTCATTGAATATTTTAATAATAATAGTGCGTAATCAGACAAATAAAGTGCAAATGTAAACTGGAACTGTTTGCTATGTTGGAAAATCCATTGTAGCTTCCCATGAAAAAAAAAAATAGAATAACAATAATAGTAATATGTAAGGAAAATAACAGAGTTAGTTAGGTTCTGTCCTATTTACACATGCATTCAAATGGTCTCCACAAATAAATATGAATATAATTATTAGCTTTATAGGAAAAGAGTTGAGTTTTTTATCTCTAACTCTGAATATGCAAATTTAAATATTTATGCTAGCTAGGCGAGTCTTTTGTTTGATTTTATTCCATTGTTTTGTCAGCAGTGTGAAAAGTTATTAATTTTTAACGCATTTAAAACAAATTGATTGTTGATAAGTGTTTTGATTTGCATATGGAGAGCATGAGATTGTGTAGAAAGTGATTAAGTATGCGTTGATTGGGAAAACATGGGTACTTACACGTCGTATTTATTTAGTACGTAAATTGTTATATTCCGACTAGAATTACAAATTTATTGACCTGTGGCTCAATCAAGCCAAATGGCCAAGTTACCCGTGCGTGCCCATCAAATTGGCTTTGCTGGCAATTTCAATTTCATGTTTTTGCCACAATCTTCATTGTCGAGCGGCCCAAATGCATTTGGCTTTCATAAATAAATAAGTCTGTTAAATTGTCCACGCTCCACAGGCTCAGTGCCATCGTACGGATAGCCTATCCTTAGCTTTGCCTTGCTTTCTGCTTGTTTGTCACATTTTGGCTGTGGATTTGAATGTTACTTTCCATGCCCATCACGTTCAAGTCTCTGCTAAGGCCAAGTCAAACTTGTCAGATGTTGGCCGTTGTTATCCCCGCGGCTCAGTCAGACATTTAAGCAGCTTACCAAAAATGCGATTGAAATTTGCTTGATTCTCTTTTTAAAGTGTAAAATGAATACAACACATTTACATTAAATATTTAAATGAAATATATATGGGTAACATTAATCCAGTTGATAATAGGCCACATTGTATAGTTTTTCAATTTCTTTTTGAAAAGCGCTTGTAATTGATTTTTCGCAACGTTTTGATTTCCAATTATGCGGCGTAAAGGGATTCGGTAAAACTTGCCGGCTATGGTCGAAAAAAAAGCTTAACTTTGATTGCAAATTTGTTTGCCTCAACCAAAGCAATTTTTTTCTCTCGGTCCAGCTCGCTTAAATTTTCATGACGTGTACCCATGGAAAAAGGGTAAGATGGGTTGTGCAGTTTTTACTGCAATGGTATGAGAGAGATTATACGAGCTAATGGTATTCCAATGGCGGGCAGCTTATCGTATAGGAATATTTAATTTTTGGATGCTTTTTCCATTCCTTTAGCTTTATTTTTGTTTGGCTAAGGCACAAATAAGCGTATGATACAGGGTACAGGGCATCTCGTAGTCGGGTACTTTGCACTAGTTCAGCTGTTGTGTTGCAGTTCGAGTTGTTTTGCTGCGCGTTGTTTGCTGTTTTGTGAGTTTAAGCACCTCCCCCGCCCTACCTTGCAACATTTTTATCTCGCATTTTTTTAGATATTCAGATTTTCCTTTTATGACATTTTTTAGCCATCTGCATCTTTGCTTTGAAAACAAATCCTGAAATGGGTAAACGTGTTGTTTGCAAATGCTTACAGTTTAGTCTGAGAGCAGATGCTCTAAAATAATTTGATGGGAAAATCAACAGCCGAGTATTCAGATCACAAACATTTTTGGCACAGTTGAGCAAATTGAAACTGACAAATTTGGAATGCAAGGCAATTTTTCAGTTTTCTGAGCACAAAACAAAGTTTGGCTGCAAATTGTTCATCGGAAGATCGGTCTAATTGGTTTTGATAGTGCGAATGGTAAAAATAATCCTTCTCTGCTTTAAAAATTTATTCGAACTTTACCATTTTCAATTTCGTGGTACTTTAAAATTAAGAAACTTTTCTCTTTTTGGCCGAATATAAAAGCCGAAATTTAATAGATACTATTTATCTTCACTCAGCTTTAGTTATTTCAAATGTTGGTAAGTTTATTATATTAAATATTTTTACTATTTCTTTCAACTCCATTTAATTAGAGTGTATATTTTAACATATGAAAAGTCGGCAAACTTTGTAATGCACAAATTAAATCTCATTTGCTATTTAATTACTTCTCTATTTCATCTTTTAGATGTGTTTACCTATATTATTTTTGTATGTAATCCCACATTCTTGAACTTGTTATAACAATTTCATAGCATATAATATTATATATGTATGGTATAGGCTGCACGAATACTAATACTACAATGAATGAGTGTTAAATTGTAAAAAATGTGGCTACAGGGTATTCCTTAAATGTATGCACTGGGCTCTAACCTGTGAAGCTTACTTGCTGTCAAATTCAGCATATTCCCCCGAAATCGTTGTTTGTTTTTATGTTTGTTAGTTATGTCCTCGGCGCACACTTTTCAGTAGTCGCCGGAAATACTAAACTTGTGCGAGAAAGAGATAACATAAATAATGAAATAAAGCGCAGTTACAACAGAAGAACATATATACGAATTTGTATGAATATACTACATATAGGTAGAATTAATTTATTTCAAATTTAGTTAGAATCAGGCTCAACAAATCATTCGGAATGCTTTTACTTAGAATTTTTTATATTTATATTGAAAATACAATTTTGGTGTTTTTTCTTCTCATTGTATCGTGAAGAAAATATGCGACAAATTTTTAAGAAGCTTATTTTGAATACAACAAAGAAAATAGAACAATTGCCGATGTATGTATGTATGTGTGTGTGTTTGTATGTTGTGTATATCTGCACGTTACGAGCTCATTGACAGGAAACACATATATACAAGGACCTTGATGGCGCTTAAATGGTAGAAAATCTATAGCATATACGAACAGATGTTTCTGGACGAAACGGAAATACACGGGGAGTGGGTCACGGGGAGTTTTCAGGGCTGGCTGTATGAAAAGTTTTCAGACAAGCAGCCAAAAACTTTCGGTGGTCCGTCCTGGAGCGTAGGCAGATAAGATGCGCGTGCTGAGTTTTATTGATGGGCAGCCAAAAGCTTGGATGCTGTGGAAGGAGATCAACATAGTACATAACCTTATCCAGTGCCAGTGTCAACTGTCGACAACTGTCAATTGTTAATTAAATGTGTACGCCATAGGACGGTCAGCTAGCCAGGCAGCAGCTGTTCTTAAGCACACTTGATTTGTATTATTCAGTCTACGGGCTGTTCTGTGGTCTTTTGGGCCTGTCACATGTACCAAAATAAAATATACGGGAGTTAGTCGTGTGGTCGCCCTGTGTTAATATTGCAAATGATTTGACATTTTTATTGCTCGTAACTAATAACTTAATTGACATGTTTGATTGCATGTATGTGATTTATGTGCTTGTCTGTGTGTTTGTGTTTGTGGGTTGATGTAATTTGCGCAATTGCTCATTTAAATGCCACAATTAAATGCCTGTGCAAACAAATATAACATTAGCATAATTTCTCTCCATCTCCCTTGCTCTAGTTTTCCAATACATTTAATCCTGTGTGATGCCCAGAATGTTGAGTACGTCCATAAAGATGTTAATGACATCCAAGTAGAGATTTAGTGAAGCGAAAATGTATTCTTCGGGGCTTATTGCATATTTGTGACTACCACCCATCATCAGCTGTGTATCGTAGATCAGATAGATGGAGAAAAGTACAGCGCCCAGGGAAGAATAGATGAGTGTTATAATTTTTCCATGCATAAAGATTGCCACAATGCCAAAGATCAAGAAGCCCATCAGACAGGCAATGAGTATGCCGCCCATCATGGTAAAATCGTATTTCGTCTGCAAGGCAAATAGCGTTAGGGCCAAGCATATGGCAGCTGTTATGCCAATGGCCAGGAGCACCTCTTTGGCAGCAAAGCGACTAGCCGAAACGCCTAACAGAAACGATTCGGCCACTGTGAACAGTCCCAGGAATATGAAATTGGTTGGTGTCTCTCGGCGCACATTCTCGCAGCAGATCATGAATATCATGGTAACTACCATGACACCCACAGCCAACCAGAAGAGCCACGGATTGAGAGCCGCAAAGTTCTTGGCGTCCTCGCTGAACACGAACAAGGCAACAGCACCGAATGTTACGACCAGCTGTCCCATCAATATCAAGTAAACCTTACGTATAAATCCACGGCGGATGGTTTGGTTGTCAAATGAAAAGTTCTTCGGCTGCCCCTCAGAATCGGCATAAGCCCCATAACCGATAGCAATGTTCGCTTCGTGTCCACTGCGATAGGCAGCATATTGGTATTGCTGACTGGTTTCCTTCGCTTGCATTCTCGTTATGCAGAGATTGTGTGCACAAGTTTACAATTACTCAAAATGGTCTGGTAGAAATCTAGACTAATCGAAGTTAGTTGTGTTATGAAGTGAGATAACTTTACCGTCGACTACTTGTATATCCCAAAAAAGTTCCACAGTTGAGAAAAACGCTGAGAAACTGTTTGAAGAATTCACAAACTTGTGGAAATTTCTTTTTACTAAATAATAGTACCAAATATTTATTAGCAAGAATTATAAAGGTTAACAAATTGATTGACATATAAACTTGGTTCTCTCTTGGTTTTCTCTATAATCCATAAAAATTTATTATTGACCTCGGTCCCATCAACATTTCCTTTAGATTTCAAGAGCTAATTATAACGAATTTATGTTTGGGAGCTGGCGTAGGCTTTTTCCAAGTCTATCACACTCCACTAGAGCACGCTTAGTTGTTTTATTAGAGCTCAAGTCCCCACTTTGGATTGACGAATTACTGAGTGTTTTTAAGGATAAAGCTTTTATTATTTCAACTGCGCCCACTCTCACCCTGCAATAGAAAACACTATATTATATATTGTCAGAGTCATTTTAATTAATTTTTCTTTAGATTATTGCGTGTCGATTGTATACAATCGCTTTTAAAACGATATCGGAAATTGTATTTACCTTTTTTTTAATGCACCGAACCGTAAGCCAAACTAGTCACACAAAACACAACTGGCCTTTAGAAAATAGGCATACATGGAATGTGCCCCATTCATTGCATTTATTTAATCATATTTGCTAAATGTCAGTTTTGGTGGAGATCAAATTTAGCTTATAATAATTCACTCTACTTGCAATCATTTTCGTTAATTCTTTATTGTTTTTTAACAATTTTGAATTAATATTAAATGCCCTGGCTTGAAACAAAGCCTTGATTAATGGAGAAGGTAAAACAGGCTCACCAACCGACCCTGAATCCGGGGCCTAAACCTTAAAGCGAATCATCAACAATTCGCATTTGGGTTTTCTGGACTGTACATAACAAATCTGCTAACAGATTTGTATCTAATTTGGGTTTTATTGGTAAAGGGAATGATGAGTATTATCAACGTGCCCAATGCTGCGTTAACTTGGCTTGTTGCGTATCATATGTGCCAACTGATAAGTGGCTAAAAAACAACAACAGGTGTGCGTTTTCCCCTCGCAAACGGTTTCATTCACTCTCTTGCATCGCATAAGTTCGTTCTCTTAAGTTTTCTCTGCGTTTCGCTTCTGCGCGCTGCGTCAATTCAGCAGACCTTATTTCTTTTTGGCCAATGCTCAAAGCTCTTTTGTTCGTCTTGCAAAATGAGTTTCAGTATTTTCAGCGCCTTTGTCGGTTTGAGTGGCCGAAGGAATTGAAAATTGGTCTAGGCAAGGACTGCACTTGGCATTTTCTGATTGCCTGGCCACAAAAATTGGCGTATTTTTCATGGTAAATGAGTAGCCCATTAATTTAGTATTTTCAATATATATGAAACATTTTTGCCGAATATTACAATTATCTGCCAAAGCTTTTTTGCACTTTTTGATATGCTTAAAAATGTTCTAAAAAAATTACTTTGACAGGTCGTACTGTAAAAAATTGGCAAAAAATGGGTACGGCTGAGTTAAAAAAAATAAAACAAATTGGAATTCGGAAGTTGAAAATGTACAACCAGATAAAACTCTGTATTTAGGTTCTTAGTGCCGACATAAAATGTTGCATTTATTATCAAATTGAAATTTACTTTTTAGAATATAAAGATAAGCTGGCAATATCGACGTTTTGGTAAACCAATAAATTATTTATAAGCAATTATTCATCAATCATTCTATTTCGATCCGACATTAATAAAAAACCGAATCTTATTAATTGTCTATAGGCATGTATTTACATGCTATTTCGATTCGGAATATAAAAGCAAATGGAGTTGAGAAACGCTATGATAATCTGATGTACAATCGTGGGTTGGTTTTTTTGTTAGCTATTATTGCACAAATTAATAATACACCTTTCACCCATTTCTATAAGCATAGGGTATTCAAAATATTGTGAAAGGCAAATGAATTTTCATATGCCGTCTGTCAATTGCCAGCCTTTTGCATTGTGCCACACATCAATCAAAATGCCATTTGGGCAGGCATGCGATTCTACACAACTTCCCAAACTTTAATTTTGTTAGGGTCGGCCCAGAATTGATTCACTAGGTGGCACGGCACGTGTTGCGTTTCAAAGTTAGCTTAAAGTCCAAATAGCCTTTCATTTAATGCCAGTGAACTATCAACAAGTTTTTTTTTGTTTGCTTCCTTTTCTCTTTTTTTTGGGCAAAATAATAAGAAGGTCGCTAAAAGTATTGCTAAAACTGGATAAGACATATTAATGCCCTGTAGATCAAGGCTCAAAAAGCCAAAATCAGAAGTGCTAAAATCTTGTTTGTCTTAACGACAATATACGCGAGCTATATAGAGAGAAGACCTTTTCAATGATTATTTTAAGACGTACATAGAATGGTGTACCTTAAGGATATGCCTCATTGGGATTTTTACTGCAGGGTAGCTAATAAAAACAAAGAAAAAGTGCGTCACGTGTTGCCCTAATCCCCCTGGCTGACACAGTAGAAACAAAGAAACTGGCTGCAACAAAAGTTCTGGGCCCCACAAGGCGTGGCTGGCAGTCAACGAGTCAGCCAGCCAGATAGCGGGTCGGTCAGTTAGGCATCTATCAACAAAAACTACACTTTAAAACTTTAAATGAGTTTTTGTGTGGCGCAAAGCTGGTGCCGAAAATCACGAAAAACCAGCGAGCGAAACGGCGTAGATAAGAAAAGAAAGAGAGAAAATAAAGGCAGCCATAACAAATCGTTGACAATTTATCGACCAAATCGAAGGCAAGGCGTTGACAGACGGCCCAAAATTGAAAATGGTCTTAGCCAAAGTTGTGGCAAGTCTTGACCAGAGCCAAGACAAATACAAATACTAAGTACACACTCAAAAATGTATATGTACAACAGTTGGGATAAAAATATAACACAAGCCGACTTAACAGGCACTAAAGACTAAGTCGCCAGAAAAACAAAAACTCAAACAACAATGACCACATCATTATGGCATGCTTTCTGACCGAAAACCCAAACTCCATGGCAGTTTAATCTATGCAAATCCAGACGAAAAACTCATTTTGCGGATTTCAACTTTATAAAGCTCAGATGCAGCCTTTTTTAGACAACGACGACGGGCTGCAAACAAAAAGTTGAAGACGCGCGAATTTCCCCAAAACTCAATATTTTGCTAGTCCCATTGTTTTAGTTGTATATCTTTGGAGAGTGCACTGCAATTATTATCGCGAGTATCCTTCAAATGCATTCTTATTTTAAATTAAAGTAATATAATTAATTAACTTCCAGGCTCTCTTCTTTTGTCAAGACATTTTGATTGACACGCATTAATATTTGATATTTAAAATGGTTCCTACAATTTATTCTATTACAACTTGGAAAGATTAGCTTAACTTTGAAGTACATGAAATTGTTTCATGTTTCATGTCATAAGTCGTAAATGCAGGAAATTTCAGCAAAAACATTTTATCTGTATAATTTGTAATCAGTTTATCAGTCTAAACTTGATTAATTTCATGTGCGCATCAAAATTTTTTGAATAAAAATATGTTTTACTCTTAAGATAAATATATATATATATAAGTTAAAAATGGTATTTAGCTAAATTAAAAAATATAATATGCATATTTGGGAATTAAAACAAGGGTATTACAAATTCGTCAGATGGTAGATTTTTCTATTATTGTTTTTCCGTGAGATGAATATTTTATTTGCTTTTACTCTTGTTGCGTTGGTATTATTGTCTTGTCTTTTGGGCCGCTTGTTGATTTTTGTGTTCATTGTTGTTTAACAGGACTTGACTGCTGTAGCTGCTGTTGCTAAGGACGCAGCCATTAAAATTTACAACATGGCACGGGCCAAAAAGTTCAATAGCAAAATCAACTACAGCAGTTTCTCATTTGTTTTGTTGCAACTATTTTTATGTTGCAAAGCCTCTTCAGTGTTTTTCTTAAGTTATGTTTTTATACATAAATTGCTATAGTATTGCTTACATTAATTAAGAAAAACCAGACAATGCTGTGTGTAGTTCATTTATAAGTGCAAACGTCCCCTACTCAAATAATCAAAAGTTTTCGTAGATATTTGACATACAATAATCGAATGATTTTTATTGATTTCTAATACTGTTTTCGTATCTAAAGAATGAATGGCAAGATGTTTGCAATCCTAACTTCGAATTGTATGTTTTGGCCATTTTGTCGAAGTTATAAAAGATTTTGTCGATAAGTGTATAAATTTACAGAAACTGACTTGAAATATGTATTGTGGAAAGTGTAAACAAATATTGGCTTTAATACATAAGGCAAAGGTACATAATTATGATTGAGGACGCTAGTAAAATACAAAAAATGTCACTTGATTGTATTTGTGTATAGATAAAAATAAGTTCAACTATTCTGAAGCACATTTAAATGTTTCCTTCCATTCAGTTGATAAACTTTATACTCTAATAATAGATTTTTCTTGTTCAATATTAGCTCCCACTCAATTCATGCTTCATTTCTAAAGAAACTCATTGCTTTATCGAATATGCGTCTAAATCGCAAACTTTATGCCCTATCGCGTCCATTAAGCAAAAGTATGCAAGCGCTTGCAGACAGTCTGTTTTATATGTATTGCACTTTGCCAGAGGGGTCAGACATGACGGTCAGATTGCATTCAATACATGTATATGTTGCTAGACGGTTACTGCTGTTGTTTTTGCTGCTGCTGCTGCTGCTGTAGAGTAAATATTTTTGAAGTAAGCAAAAACATTTGTCAAGACATTGACATACGGACAAGCCACAAGCAATGCCCGCGTTGGGCACACAGTGTTCATAAAGTTTTAAGCCATTCAAACGCAGACAATCAGTCAATGACTCTCAGTGTGGGAGGGTATGAGCTAGTTGTTGTTTTAAAGCAAGTATTTATTGGCTTTTAAGATTTGCTCATTTATATATAGAATTCTTATGAGTACATTATAGATATAACTTGTTGACCAAAAGATATTTTTACTGT